TTTGGTGCGTGCTCATGGGCATGCTAAGGACCATCTCAGAGCTCTCTCAGAGGAGAAAGTGCAAGAGACAGAAGCAAAGTTATACAACTGAGAAAAACTAAATACTAGAAAAGAGAGTGCATTTGCATGTGTTTCATACTATTGAAGAACTATTTCAAATCCCACTAGTGTTAGGGAATAAGAAATTACTTTGTGACTTAAAGAATTCCAGGAATTACACTTTATAATACAATAAGAGTACTCTCCAAATATTGTTTGAAGACCCCAATTTAAAGTTCACTGCAGGGGATCCCTGGGTGGCTCAGCGGTTTAGCACCTGCCTTTGGCCCAGGGCCTGATCCTGAAGATTTGGGATTGAGTCCCACATTGGGCTCCCTGCATGGAGCCTGCTCCTCCCTCTGGCTGTGCCTGTGCCTCTCTCTCTCTCTCTCTCTGTCTCTCATGAATAAATAAATAAAATCTTAAAAAAATAAAGTTCACTGCAATAACTTCCTCCATTGTCTGAAAGGCAACTATTAAATCAGCATTTTACAAACATTAATAAACACAGAGTGCATCATGCATTATTTTAGGCAATAAAGGAAATTTAAAGAAAAAAGTGGAGTTTCAAATTCAAAAGAAATTGAGTAAATAAAATACACTAACCTTGGATATGGGCAGTGAGGGAAACAAAAGAGTCTCAGGTTTGATGCATAGGTGAATGGTAGAGTCATTAATGATGTCTGATAAAGACTACTACTTGCTTACCTAATATCCACTCCTTGCTTACCTAATATCCACTCTACCCATTTTCTTACATAATTGACCCCATACAGCATTAAAAGTGGCAACATGACCAGCTAAAAACCATATGAAAACTATATTTTCAGGCAGTCACGGTGGCTCAGTGGTTTAGCGCCGCCTTAAGCCCAGGGCCTGATCCTGGAGACCCGGGATTGAGTCCCACATCGGGCTCCCTGGATGGAGCCTACTTCTCTCTCTGCCTCTCTCTCTGTGTCTCTCATAGATAAATAAAATCTTAAAAAAAAAAAAAAGAAAATTATATTTTCCTGTTTCGACTATATCTAATAAGATATAATGACATAAGACAAAAGCAGACACCTTTGGGTGGAGCATCCAATATGTCCCATGCAAAGTACATTGACCCTGCAGGGTGACCACATTTTTTTCTTGGCCTTCATTCTCTCTGCCTGGGATGTGATGGTTGAGGCACAAGCAGCTAGTTTGTGATCATGAGGTAACTTGAAAATACACATTTCATGCTAAGGATTGTAAAACAAAAAGATGAATCCTGAAATTGGTGAGTCACTAAGTTAGCCCTGGTTGCCTAATTCTGGAGTTTTATTTTTGACAGAAAAATAAATGTTTATTTTACTTAATCTTATTCCAGGTCTCTCTTATTAGTCACTAATCCTCATTGATATCCCAGTATAGAGAATCAAGTTGCTTGGGGCTTTTTGGTAGGTGGCAGGGTTAGGAGAAAGTTTAGTTTTGAATGTGTTGTATGTGAGGTGCTCACTGCTGGAATGCCCAGACATCACTTGGAAACACAAGGTAGAGACAGAGACTTGGGAGTGCTCCAAGTGGGGAGGCTAATATCCACAGCTTATCATTTCCAGCCAGTGGTTCTTTATTTTCTTCAGATTGTCACTATGGTAAGGACTTTCTAATTTTTTATTTCTGAGCATTTAACTTGCACTTTACCTTGAATGCAAAAAAGGCAATCTTCATTTTGCATGGCCATACAGAACCTCAAAAATGAGCAGGCAAGCTGAAACTGTGCAAAGTGATCTTCATAATCAATGAAAAAAATTGATTGCTTCATGAACTTTAAAATTTTTGTCAAAACACTAAACTCTCTTGTCTATACAAGTATAGAGGAATGAAAAAATAATAAAGCTATCATTTACTTAGTAAATTGAAATTTAAGGCATCAGGAACATTGAGAATTAAGGTGTTTTATTTGTTTTTCTTAAAGGAGAGCTTTGTTTTTTAATTTTTGAAAAGATTTTATTTATTAGAGAGAGAAAGTGAATGAGAGAGAGAGAAAAAAAGAGTGGGAGGAGAGACAGAGGAAGAAGCAAAATCCCTGCAGAGCAGGGAGCCCGGTGCAGGACTTGATCCCAGGGATCATGATCCAAGCTGAAGGCAGACACTTAACCAACTGAGCCACGCAGGTGTCTTGTTTCTTTGTTAAATGCATCAAGAGTAACCTAAACACTGCTTGCCTTATTTATTTATTTATTTATTTATTTATTTATTTATTTATTCATTCATTCATTCATTCATTCATTCATTCATTCATTCATGAGAGACACAGAGAGAGGCAGAGACACAGGCAGAGGGAGAAGCAGACTCCCTGAAAGGAGCCCAATGTGGGACTTGATGTGGGACTTGATCCGGGACCCCAGGATCATGCCCTGAGCCAAAAGCAGATGCTAATCCGCTGAGCCACCTAGGGATCCCCACTTGCCTTCTTATTGTTAATTTACAATAGGAAGTAAGGATCTTGTGTTTGCCCTCATGAATGGTTATACTCTTCCCTAAATTTGGATTAACATCCAACATTTTATCCTTGACATTTGTGTTGTGAAGTATCTCCAAAAGTTCTATTAACATTCAGAAGTTCTTGGGTTTTGTGTGTGTGTGTGTGTGTGTGTTACTTCTGGGATATATTCACCCTTTTTTCACAACCACTTTCCTTCTCTACGTTGGTAACTTCTCCTTCACAAAGTTCTTCTAGCTGTGCTTCTAGGGTTTTTCAAGTGGTAGCAGTGCCAACATTCCCACCATCAGCTATTTCTTCTATAATTCCGTTTATGTTCAATGTGAATTTCACTTCCCGCAGTGTGATTTTTGGGTTATTTGCAGTACTGTTGGCCAATTCCCTCTTTTGATTATCCATTTTTATAAAATGTCATGTGAATTTATCACTGGGAGACAAGATTGCAACACAATTACACACTTTTGCTGTGTGTGTATAAAATGAATAACAGATGCAGAGTGACCCATCACTGACAGACTCTGAAAGAAGTGATTCAATTGGTCACTGATCATAACATGCACGTGTTATTTATGTAGTGATTTGTGGACTGAAGACTCAGCAACAAAGTTTGTAATTATGCAATTACCGAACTCAACCAAATCATAGTAACTGAAATGTGAACTGTGATGTTATAGGGCTAGATTATTTAACTAAACCATGGTAACCAGAAACCATGCATGTCAGAACCACGCAAAGCAAGACCTGTGTGTAATCCAGCTGAGGGCTGGTGAGCAAAATCTAGATGTGTCTATGCAATATTCATTCTCTTACTTTCATATCTCTTCTTTCTCCCCACTTTTTAGCTATTTCATTTCTATTAGTATCACCTCTGGAGAGTGATGAGGATAATTTTCAAGGCATCTTAAATCAGTTTTGCTACTGATAATTTTGGTTAAATTGCTGAGCTAAAATGGGGGCTTAAAATTATCCTCAATCATATATTTTCTGTCCTGTTCTCATGGTCGGCTGAATTAACATTGCTATAATAATGTTCTGTCATAAAGGGCTTTTACCATAACAAATTCTGCTTGCTCAACATCCTGCCAATCAGAATTATCTTTCTATTCATTCATTCGGTAAGTATGTGCTAGGCACTATACCTTGTGCTTGGAATACTTTGCATCAGTGAATAAAACAGGCAATAATCCTTGCCCCTGTAATGCTTACATTTTAGTTGGTAGTTGTGAGGGGCTGGAGCATGAGGCAATAATAATGAAGCCTGCTACAGTGCTGCCATGTTGTCAAGCTATGATGATATTATAAATAAGAAAATACAGATATTCAAGTATACGTTTTTTCTTAATATTTTATTTACTTATTCCAGAGAGAGAGGCAGAGACACAGGCAGAGAGAGAAGCAGGCTCCATGCAGGAGCCTGATGTGGGATTCCATCCCGGGACTCCAGGATCGCGTCCTGGGCCAAAGGCACATGCCCAACCACTGAGCCACCCAGGCGTCCCCAAGTATACGTTTTTAAAAAAGGATTAACAATTTTGGCCAGATGATCAAAATTAATATCAGTAATAAAGTGATATTATGGACATCATGTAGTTTATTTCTTTTTTCTTTTTTTAAAGAACTTTTTTTTTTAAGAAGGAGAGAAAAGGGGGAGAAGAAGAGAGAGTGAGAAGAATCTTAAGCAGGCTCCATGCCCAGCACGGAGCCTTATGCAGGGCTCAATCTCACAACCCGGAGATCATGACCTGATCCTCCATTTATTTCAGCTATTGGTGTGTCAGCAAATTAGAAAGCACTGATGGGAACTGATGACATTTGAAACATTTTTATTTTCAGGCATTTATACCATTTTTATTACCATTTGAATTCCAGGTCTTGCTCCAACAAACTCAATTTTACCTGAACATTAAGTAAATGCAAATCAGCCTGGGAATCGTGAGAATGGATAGGGTTAGAGTTCTCATGGTTGTGACGTTCTTGGCTAAAGCTGAGCTCTACACAATATCACTTGCCCTACCTTGCTTCTCTCAATACTAAGCATACACTAATTGAATTCCTTGCCTTGCTCTGGCTTCTTCATATTACTTATCACTACCTGACATCCTGTTATGTAACTTATTTCCTTATCTGTTTACCGCCTGTCCACCCTCATTCCCATGTAGAATAAAAATCCCACAAAGTCACAGACTGTTTTATTCATTTCTGCCCTGGATTCTGTCCTTGGACCAGTGGCACATAATGTGTGCCCAATATTTGTTGAACAAATGAACTTGTCAGAAATTAGCTTGGGTTAAAATAGAAAAAAAATTGTGTAAAAATGAGCTCACTTCCTCCTCAAAATTAAAGGAGCTATATTATATAATGAATAAAACTATGGTAAAAAAAAATGCACAAAGTACACGAATGTTAGGACTAGTTCTTTTTTTTTTAAAGAATTTATTTATTTATTTATTTATTTATTTATTTATTTATTTATTTATTCATTCATTCATTCATGAGAGACACAGAGAGAGCGAGAGAGAGGCAGAGACACAGGCAGAGGGAGAAGTAGGCTCCATGCAGGGAGCCCGATGTGGGACTCGATCCCGGGTCCCCAGGATCATGCCCTGGGCTGAAGGCAGAGCTAAACCGCTGAGCCACCTGGGCTGCCCTGTTAGGACAAGTTCTAACAAAGTTTTTTAAAAGACAGTAGGCACATCAGGAGTCTTCATTCAGTTAGCAGGTTACTCAGGCCTTGGTCATTCATACTCTCTGAAACTGGACAGTATGAAAGGGATTTGTCTCTTTGTTTGTTTATATTTGTGTGAGACCAGCAAAAGAGAACAGACATAGTGGGGGAACATCTGAAGGTTGGCTTTAGAGGCACCAGATTAGGAGCTACACAGACATCTCGGAGCCATCATTCATTCATCCATTCATTACGTACCTCTCTCTTTCTCCCTCTCCCATTCTCTCCTGTATTCTGCTTCTCCTCAACCCACCAAAATACCCACTCCAATCCTAATTTGCCCTCAAAACAGTATGCCTGGACAGCCCAGGTGGCTCAGTGGTTTAGCACTGCCTTAGGCCCAGGGCGTGATCCTGGACCTGGGATCTCCCTGCATGGAGCCCGCTTCTCCCTCTGCCTGTGTCTCTGTGTCTCTGTCTCTCTGTCTCTCTCTCTCTCTCATGAATAAATAAATAGAATCTTTAAAAAAAAAAACAGGATACCTTTTCCAGATCAGATGATCTAACCAATACACCAAATTCTGAAGTCTATTAAGCATATTGACTTATTGTCTGTTGTGCACATTGCCCTTTTTTCCCCTAATATTCTGTCTTTTGACTTTGTTTAATTGGCTCCAGCACAGAGATTAGTACTACATAACATGTTAGTTCCTGTTTCTCCCTTAAGACACACCTAGATTAAGGGGCACCTGGATGGCCCAGTTGGTCAAGTGTCTGACTCTTGATTTTGGCTCTGGTCATGATCTCAGGGTCGTGAGGTCGAGTCCAGCATAAGGCTCTGTGCTGGGAGTGGAGCCTGCTTGAGATTCTCTCTTTCTCCGTCTACATCTCCATCTCTAAAATAAGTAGGTAAAATCTTAAAAAAAAAAAAAGACATATAGATTAAACATATTCTTCAGACCCAGCTCAGTACTAGGCACTGGAGATACAAAAATTAACAACACAATCTTTCCTTCAATGGGCTGATACTCCTGCCAGGATGGATGATTGCCCTGCTAGTGCTGATGCAAATGAAGTTATTGTAGTTTTACCTCCTGAGCCTTCCTTCCTTCCTTCCCTGTCTCCTGGATCCAGGGGAAAGTAGAGGCTTGTTCACTTCTGTCAATTCTCATAAATATTAGCATAGTTTTCTAAATTTTATAATTACCTTATTGTAGAGTTTGTATTGACCATAGATTTTCTGTACAGATACCTTCAAGGGTTGAATGTATAACTTCTTTTTCAAAAAGACTGAAAGTCTGACTACAATCCTGTCACAGTGGCCTGGTTTCAGTTTTTGGAACATTCCAAGCTTCTTCTTCAAAGCCTTATTAATGTTCTTAGTATGAGCCTCTCTGCCTGGAATGCTGTCCTCTTGGCTCTTAGGCACAGTCAGATTCTCCAATATGAAGCCATCATATCCATTCTACATAACAGCAACTGCTACCACTATTTGTTTTCTTTGTGACATTTAACATTATTTATAGTTATTTTGATTACTTTCTTTTATGTTTACTGTTTTCTTCACTAAACTATGAGTCAAATCTTTTCATGTTCATAGCTACATTCCTAATGTATAGCAGAGTATCTGGCCCATAATAGTTGAGTAAATATTTGTCAAATGACTGGTTAAGTAATGAGGAAGACAGCAAAAAAGGGGAGGAAAGATAAAAAAAATAGACCTGCACAATTCTCAATTATCTTGCTCTTCTTCTGAACTCTTAAAGGGTCTACTATTACTCTTCAAAACCCTTTTCTTGTATATCTCCTAAAATAATGTATTTAAGTAATACACGCCCTCATACGTGTTTAAGTTGATATCTGTAATTTTATATGTTTAAATAAATGCAAACAATAAATGTTCTATGTATTATAAATAGTAGCATTTAAAATAAATCTATTATACAATATTCTTTGAAATGTATCCAATGGGACATAAATACAATAAAGATCTGATATCTACCACTACCCATTTTTAAAAGACACAAAGAAAAAAAAAATAAAAGACACAAAGATTCAGACATACCACTCCTACACATCAGATGGAAAGTAGTATAGAGGGCCCCCACAAGACATATACAAAAGTATTCACAGCAACTTTAATCCATAATAACCAAAAACTGAGGAAAAACCAACTGTTCCTTGGCAATAGAAAGGCTAAGCAAATTATGGTACATACATACATACATATATATATACACTGGGATATTATGTAGCAATGATTTTCCAAATCTTTGGTCTCAGGACTTCTTTATACTCCTAAAATTTATTGATAACACCAGATTTTAAAAAATCTATTAGGGCATTTCTATCAACATGTGTCATGTTAAAAATTAGGACTGAGAAATTTTTTTTTTATTTTTGAGAAATTTTTAAAATGTTTATTAACCTATCTTTAAAATAACAATAATGACATGGATAAACCCTGAAGAAGTTATGCTAAGTGAAAGCAGTCAGACACACACACACACACACACACACACAAATATTGTATGATTTCACTTATAGGAGGTAGTCAAATTCACAGAGACAGAAAAGAAAATGGTGGTTGCCAAGGGCTTGGAAGAAGGACAAACAGAGAGTTTTTAATGTGAAAGGGTTATAGTTTGGGAACAGAAAAAATTCTACAGAATAGTGGTGACAATTGCATAACAATGTGAATATACTTAAGGTTACTTACCTACACATCTAAAAGTAGTTAAAATGGTGAATTTTGTTATGTATATCTTACCAAATTAAAAATAACAATAACAAAACCATTACATGTTAAGGTGCATATTTTTATGTATGACTATATCTTCTAAATAAAATTAGTAAGAAGTAGTAGTCGTATTTTTAAATATTGGCAAACCTTTTAACAGTCTGGCTTATAGAAGACAACTGGATTCAATATCAGCTTCTATTTCAATCTTTCACAATGTTCTTGTGTTCTTTTGTTGAAGTATATGAAGAAAATCTGGCCTTGCAAAAATATATAGCAGAAAAGAGATTATTTTAATAGTCTTTTCAGAAAATTCTGTCTTCTTTAATATTACATCAAAACTTGATAAGTGGTAGTTTTTTAAAATACTGGTTCACTGGGAATCCCTGGGTGGCTCAGTGGTTTAGTGCCTGCCTTTGGCCCAGGGCCAGGGCCCAGGTGCGATTCTGGAGTCCCGGGATGGTGTCCCGCATCAGGCTCCCAGCATGGAGCCTGCTTCTCCCTCCTCCTGTGTCTCTGCCTTTCTCTCTCTCTCTCTATGTCTGTCATTCATAAATAAATAAATAAATAAATAAATAAATAAATAAATAAATAAATAAATAAATAAATCTATCTTTAAAAAAAAATACTGGTTCACTAATATATGCAGATCTTCAAAATACTCACACACTGTCAGAAAAATCACATTTGTTAATATCACCATCAATCTCAACAGAAAACTTGTGACTGGGGAGCCCTGGTGGCGCAGTGGTTTAGTGCCGCCTACAGCCCGGGGTTTGATCCTGGGGACCCTGGATCGAGTGTCGGGCTCCCTGCATGGAGCCTGCTTCGCCCTCTGCCTGTGCCTCTGCTCCCCCCCCCCCGTCTCTATGAATAAATAAATAAAATCTTAAAAAAAAAAAAAAGAAAAAAGAAAAAGAAAACTTGTGACTTACTAGGAAGAAGTTGAGCCCAGGATAGTGAATATAAATTTTCCAAAATCTGATTTTTGCTTGAAAATGCATTTTATCAATGTCAACAAATATAGTCAGCTGTTTGCCTTAAAGTAACAGGCTCACTCCATTTTTTTAAATAAAATATCTGCCACATACTTTAGTCTGAGTAATCATAGTTTGTCCTTGTTCTTTTCAAATAAAAATGGTGTTCTGTGAAAAAAAACAACCAGTTCAGTTCACAATTCAATTGCACAGGTGCTTTTTCTTAAGACAATCATCATACTCCTATATGCAGCAGAAATATTTCATGTGTACTTCACGTTTCATCACAAATAATATTAAGACATGTACTAGTCTCAACAACCTATGGAAGGAGGGAAGCTTCTTCAATCTAATAAAAGATTATGAATCACTTATTCCTAATATCATAACTAATGATAAAAAACTGTGTTGTCTCTTCCAAGGCTGAAAACAAGGCAAGGATGTTTCCTTTATTGCTTCTACTCAATAATGTACTCAAGAATCTAGCCAGTGCAATAAGACGAGAAAAGGAAATAAAAAGCACATAGATTGAACAAAAAGAAACAAAACTGTCGTTATTCACAGATGACATATACATAAAAATATCAGAAATATCTACAAAAAAGCTGCTAGAATTAATAAGTGGATTTATCAAGTTCCTAGGATATAAAATCAGTATAAAAATATATGCAATTAACAACTGGAAATTGAAGTGTAAACAAAACAATTTTCAAAAAATATAAAATACTGGGACACCTGGATGGCTCAGTGGTTGAGCGTCTGCCTTTGGCTCAGGTCCTGATCCTGACCTCCTGGGATTGAGTCCCACGTCAGGCTCCCCTCAGGGTACCTGCTTCTCACTCTGCCTATGTCTCTGCCTCTCTTTCTGTGTCTCTAATGAATAAATAAAATATTTAATTATATATACAAAATACTTAATAAATCCAACAAAATTTATTCAAGATTTGCATCCTGAAAATTGCAATATATTCATCAGAGAAATTTAAAAAGATGTAAATAAACAGAGAGAGATACCATTCATAGGTCTAAAGATTTAATTTCGTAAAGGTGGCAATTTTCCCCCAATTTTTTAAAAGATTTTATTTATTTATTCATGAGAGAGAGAGAGAGAGAGAGAGAGAGAGAGAGAGAGGCAGAGACACAGGCAGAGGGAGAAGCAGGCTCCATGCAGAAAGCCGATGCAGGACTCCATCCCGGGACTCCAGGATCAGGCCCTGAGCCGAAGGCAGATGCTTTAACTGCTAAGCCACCCAGGCGCCCCTCCCCAAACAAATTTATAGATTTAGCGCACCCTCAATCAAAATCCTATTCTTCTTTTTTTTTAAGATTTTATTTATTTATTTGACAAAGAGAAATTGAGAGCACAAGCATGGGGAGCAGCAGGCAGAGGGAGAGGGAGAATCAGGCTCCCCACAGAGCAGAGAGCCTGATGCAGGGCACAATCAGCCTGATGCTGGGATCATGACCTGAGCCAAAGGAGACACTTAACCATCTGAGCCACCCAGGCACCCCGAAGTCTCAGTCTTTTTGTAAAACAAGCCAATTTTAAGCCTTACATGGTAAAGCCAAGCATCCAGAATAACCGAACAACTTTTGAATTATTTTCCTCTTGAGATCTTTAAAATGGGTATGACTATTTAAACCAAGAGTTTAAAACAAATTGGCTGTCAACATAGATCCCACAGACATTAGAAGAATAAGACAATACTATAAACAATATTATGACAACAATTTCAACAACAGAGATGAAAAAGACAAATATCTTGAAATTTAACATATACCAAAATAGGCACAAAGAAAAGCAGAAAATCTAAACAAACCTACAGCCAATAAACAAATTTAATTTTTATGAAAAACCTTACCCCAAAGAAAACTTCAAGGTCAGACAGTTTCACCAGTGAAAACACCTAAGTTACACACATGATTTTCAGATAAGAGTGGAGGAAAGAGTACTATCCAACTCATTTTATAAGGCCAATAGTTATGGGCTGAATTGTGTCCCACTCCTCAAAAACTCATATGTTGAAGTCTCAACTCTTAGTATTTCAGAATATAACCACATTTGGAAATAAGGTCGTTATTATGGTGATTAAAACAATACTGTTAGAATCTTAATCTAATATGACTAGTGTCCCTATAAGAGGAGAAAGATTCATCACAGGCATGTGATTGCACAGAGAAAGGCCATGTGAAGACACAGTAAAAAGACTGCCATCTACAAGCCAAGGATAGAGGCCTTAAGAGAAACCAAACCTGTCAACAACTTGATCTGGGACTTAAAGTATCCACAACTGTGAAAAAATAAGTTCTGTTGTTTCAGCCCAGTCCATGATATTTTGTCACAGCAGCCTTAGGAGACACCAACATAAGCTAAATATCAAAACCTGACAAAGATGGTATAAAAAAAATTACAGACTAAGATCCTTCATGGAGATAGAAGCAAAATCCTTAACAAAACACTAGCAAATCAAATGTAGCAAATCACCATACATAAAAAGAATAACATTTCAAGATTCAATAAGATTTATCTGAGAAATGCGAGATTAGTTTAAGAATTTAAAGCCAATGTAATTCACTATCACAATGTAATTCACTAAAAAAGAAAACCACTATGATCATGTCAATAAATACAGAAAATGCATTTGCTACAATCCAACATTCAGTCCTCATAAAAACTTTTAACAAAGCAGAAATAGTAGAGAACTTCCTTAAATGAACAAAGGGCATCTATAAAACACCTACAGCAATAAATAAATAAATAAATAAATAAATAAATAAATAAATAAATAAATAAAACAAACATCTACAGCATAATTAGCGGTAAAGACTAAATTGTTTTCCCCTAAATGGGAACAAAACAAACCATTATCACTACTTGTATTCAACATTATACCAGAAGTCCTAGTCACTGTAAAAGGAAAAAGAAAAGGAAATAAATGTCGTTAAGATAAAAAAACAAAGGGGTGACTTCATGGCTCAGTTGGTTGAGTATCTGCCTTTGACTGAGATCATGATCTCAGGGTCCTGGAATGGAGCTCCTGTCAGGCTACCTGTTCCATGGGGAGCCTGCTTCTCAATCTCCTTCCCGCCCCCCCCCCATGTTCTGTCTCTCTGTCTCTGTTGCTATCTCTGTATATCTCAAATAAATAAATAAAATCTAAAAACAAAAAATCAAAAAGGAAGAATATTGTCCCTATATGCAAATTACTTGATTATTAATGTAAAAAATCCCAATGAATCTAGAAAACAATCATTAGAACCCATAAGTAAATTTAGCAAGGTCACAGGATACAGGGTTCATATATAAGAATCTGTTTAAAGCAAACATTAGGGCAGCCTGGGTGGCTCAGCACTTTAGCGCTGCCTTCAGCCGAGGGCCTGATCCTGGAGACCGGGGATTGAGTCCCATGTGGGGCTCCCTGAGTGGAGCCCGCTTCTCCCTCTGCCTGTGTCCTGCCTCTCTCTCTCTCTCTCCCTCCCTGTATCTCTCATGAATAAATAAAATCTTTTTTAAAAATTTTTAAAAAGCAAACATTAAACATATATCATTATATACTAACAGCAAACTATTATAAAATGTAATTCAAAAATCCACTGTTTACAGTAGCACACACAAAAAAATAAAATATTTATGAATAAATCTAACAAAGGATCCTTTTTAAAACGTTTTATTTATTTACTCATGACAGTCACAGAGAGGGAGACAGAGACATAGGCAGAGAGAGAAGCAGGCTTCTCACAGGGATCATGCCCTGAGCTAAAGGCAGATAGACGCTCAACTGCTGAGCCACCCAGGCATCCCTAACAAAAGATCTTTATATTAGAAACTACAAAAGATAGTTGAAAGAAATTAAAGAATACCTACATAGAGAAATATACTATGTTCATGGATCAGAGAATTCAATATTAACATAACAATTCTCCTGATACTGTGGTATTATTAAAGGATAGATATATAGATCAATGAAATTGAATACAAAGTCTAGAAAGAGACCAATAAATATATAGTCAATTTGACAAAAATGCCAAGGTGATTCAATGGAGAAAGAGTCATTTTGGCAATAAGTATTGCTGTAGCAATTGGACACTGGACAGCCATATTAAGAAACAAACAAAAGAAAAGGACTATTGATCCTAAAGTAATGCCCTATGCATAAATCAAGTTGAATTGGGTCATAGTCCTACTCATAAAATCTAAAACTATAAAACTTTTGGAAAAGAACTTTAGAGAACATATTTGTGTCCTCAAGGTAGGCAAAGATATTTCAGAGAAGACAAAAAAGTATGGACTTAAAGGGAAAAAAATTCCATGCTAAAGTGTCAGCAGTTTTAACCATCATTGCTTTTACATCACAAATTAAAACATCAGTGCACAGAAAAAGGCACATAAATAAAATCCTAAAGTATTATTCCAACCATTGTGACTCATGGACCCCCCCCTAAAAATTCTCAGGCAATCCCCCCACAAGGATTCTCAGACCACACTTTGAGAAGAGCTATTTTGCAGTAATTAAAAAGAATGAACTGTGGTGTATGCAACAATGGATGCATCATACAGACATAAAGTTGAACAAAAGAAGCCTGACACAAAGGAGAGCATACTGTATAATTCAATTTATACAACGTGCAAGAACAGGCTAAAGTACTCTATGGCATGAGAAGTCAGAATAATGGTTATCTCTGGGATGGGGAAAGGAAATTAAGAAAGTTCATAGTGGGAAAGGGGATCATCTGTATCTTTTTTTTTTAAGATCTTATTTATTTATTAATGAGAGACACAGAGTGAGAGGGAAAGAGAGAGGCAGAGACACAGGCAGAGGGAGAAGCAGGCTCCATGCAGGGACCCCAACATGGGACTCGATTCTGTGTCTCCAGGATCATGCCCTGGACTGAAGGCAGCGCTAAACTGCTGAGCCACCCGGGCTGCCCTATATCTTGATTTAAGTGGTGGTTTGTATATTTTTTACTGTATGGATGTTATACCTCAATAAAAATATAAAAATAATTTTATAAATAAGTTCTTAATCTTTAACAGTTTTATATATTTTCCCCCTTGAATTTATATTTCTTTTTCCCTTAAGAATATTATTCTAATGAAATGTGTTTCTATATTTAAGTCTTTTACTAAGCATACTTCACTAACTAAACACAAAAAAACCATAGGCATGTTCTCAAGACAGTCAATTTTAGGGAAGAAGCCATAATGAAGCTGAGAATCTGAGAATTCTAGCTTGAGGATGATGGACCATAACATTGTTTTGGCATTTCATACCTTTATTGTTAAATACCTTTCATTCTATACTGGCTTATTTCACTAGAAAGTTTCTTAAAGGCAGGGGTGCATCTTGGATCTTCCACAGCCCAGGATCTGACACATAGTAGGTGGCTCACTGATTCATTTTTTCATTCATTCATGCAACAAAAATTTCTTCAACATTTTATTTATGTTTAAGGCTTGCTAGTCTCTCTGCCTATAATGATGAGTGCTCAATAGGTTCCCATTGATAATTATCAGCTACATTTCAGAAACAGTGTAATTCTCTTTTCTCCCAAATTCCAAGTATAGGCGCACTACCTGTCTTATTAACCCTGTTGTAAAAATGAGGACACGAAGACACTGAGATTAATTAACTGACTCGCTTAGGGTCATGCATTTCATCATGAGTCAACTGAAGATTGAAATCCTTACAGGTTCTTTTCTGGACTGAGGTGCTAAGGGAATTCATTCAGATTGACTAGAGTCCATATTTCATTTAAATGCTCTAATTTCATTTCTGCTACATCCACCTTCTTTGACTTGTATTTTAGGACCTGCAGTCTGAATTGGTTTACTTCTACTTCAGTCTCTGTCAAGATAAATTAGACACTGAGGGTCCTTGACACCATCTGAAGTAGAAGTGCTATTAGTTGAAAATACATAAGCAGTTTTATATTTCAACATAGTATAGAAATTCTTTGCAAAACCTCTTTTCTACTAAAAATGAAAGTGGGCATAATAAACATAGGTGAATTTTGAAAATGTTTAAAAAATTAAAATTTGATTTTACTATACATCCTCAGGTAAGCATAGCCAAAGGAAGGCAGATTAATAGTAAATATTTTTATCTCCTGTCAATGCATCTAGAAGCCATTCTGTTGAATAAGATCTGGCAGGTTCCTGACTGTGAAGAGAGATAGGGTAACAACTCCGATGATACATAAACTTGTATCAGATACAGCCTCTATTTTTTGCTGTAATCATCCATCCATAGCCTAGCCTACTCAGACGACAAGTTATTAATAAAATGGACTATACCACAAGTGCATTGCCCTACATGGTGTTTATCTTGTTGGAAAGTGTAATTGTCTGAAACAATGGCCTCTGTGAAAAGATATGTTATGAGCTGTGTAAAGATCAAAATAATTTCAACTAATAGTGGGAGCTGTTTGTGAAGAAGTAAAACATAGATTATGCTGCATAGAGTTAACAGCTCAGCCTTGCTTTTAAGGTCCCTGTGAGATAGCCTTGAATTTCATGCCATATCTTGTGAAGAAACAAAGATCCTCCACCAGAATGTAAACTCATCCAAGGCAGAGAATTCCGACTTATTCGTCAACGTCTCACTAGCACATAGTGTAGTCCTTGAAAAACAAATCAACATTTAATGCATGCTGAGAAAAAAAATGAATGAATATGAGTATAGTAAAGATATGGAAAGAGTTCCAGGTCCAAGCCAAGCCAATACCAGTTTTCCACCAGGTTGTGACTCAGAAAAGTAGAGTGGGATCCAGACTCCTAGAGACTAGTATTAGTGGAAAGGGTAAGGGTAAAATGGAAGCAGTCTGAAGTCAAGTAGCTGAGGATACCACATGGCATTCCCATAGTGCTGGGGCAGATAGAGAAACTCTAGGTATAGAAAAAGGTAAAGCTTGTCCTTGGTCCCTACCTCTCCTGCCCCAGCCCGACTGGATAGGATCTGAACAAGTTCTTGGCATCTTTCAATCTAGATTCTTCTGGCACAACAAAAGAAGCTTCAGATCTCTTATTCTCACTGGTGGAATGCTAGGTTGGGACAGCCTGCAGGTAACAGCATGTGGCTTAGGGAGCACTGTGAGGAGCTAAGACAATTGGCAAGGTCTTAGGGAGGTAGATGGAGTGCCAGATCCTCAAATAGAGCTGCATTACCTCTCCACTGAGATAGTAAAAAAAAGAATACAAAGGAAGATAGAAAAACTTAAGACATGATGAAGGAGAGTAGATACAGAAATATTCTGAAGTCGAGGAAAGGATAGTTGAAGGAACCTGCTGAGGCCTAAACCACAGCCACTTTCTCTTGTATTTTTCTGAGGCAAAAGTTGATGTTTGGATTATATCCTCCCACAAGCTCACAGAAAGTGCTTTCTCTCCCCACCATGAGGGGTAAAGTATGTTTGGCATCATCCTTTTTTTTTTTTTTTTAACAAGCAGTTAGTTTAGGATGTGTATGTGACACAAGGGGACTGCCCAGTGGGACTCAGTTCTGTTAGAGGCCTCTAGAAAGGGCTATCCTTCCTTTATTATGAGAAAGAGAGAGACAAAGAAAGACAGAAGGAGGTGGGAGACAACATCCCCTTCTTTGCGCGATGCCCTTACTGCATCAGATGCCAAAAATACAGGAGCTATGGTGCAGCCTTGAAGGGAGATGGGAGGAGAGAGTATCATCTGAGGATGGCAGAGCAGAAAGAAGAAATTCCCCTGGGTCCTCGATAACATCCTTGAGTTACTCAATTAACCAATAGAGGAACCACTTTCCTTCAAACCTCCTATTTTATGAGATAACAAGTTCCTTATCTTTCAAAAGCCACCATGAATCAAGTTTTCTGTTGCTTGCACTTCTGTCGATAGCTTGATCTTTTCTTGTAAAGGGGAGTGTGTGTGTTTGAATGTGAAATATGGGATGTGAAAGCCTGAAACTGATATTTCAGCTTTCCCTATAGCCTCTCTCCATCCTCTTCCCCACCCCCCATTCCTTCCCCTATCCCTTCCTACTGGACTCGGAGGAGGGCCAGGAGACACCAGACTGGATGCAGAAGGGCCTCCCTTTTTATCAAGATTTAGTCTTTCCTAGCTGAAGCTCAGTGTTGTGCTCCTTCTTCACTAAGGACATGTTCTGTCCCAGGAAGCTCCTCAGTCACTCCAGGAAACAGGCTTGGGGGCGCGGGGGCATCAGTTCCACAGATGCACCCAGAGATATCTGAATCCCAAGCCACAGTTTAGGCTCAAATGAGGAGCCCCAACGCCAGCATCATTCTGTATCTATAGCTAGCAATTCTCCGTGGCCCTTGAACACAAGAGGAGAATAAAAATGGCCAAGACTTAGGGGTGGGAATTGGCACAGACATGGGAGAAGGTCTGAGAATGCAGTTAATAGCATGGTTTAACCAGATTATAAGTCTTCTGAAGACCACTTAGCACCCAGCACAGAACACCGCAGCTACAGAGTTGGTCTCCCCACACATGTATTAAATTTAACTGAAATGACCCGTTGGCAGGCTGAAGGTCAAACGGTTTCCTTTCACAGAGTCTTCTGCTCAGAGAATGCCTTTCAACCATCACCGCCGCCACCACCACCACCACCACCACCTTCCCCCCAAAACAAAACCTTCAATGTCTTCACCTCTGTTATCTAAGTCTACGTTTTATAATATACTTCGAGACAGGCAGCAGTAAGAATAGTTTTAACTTACCAGGAGGAAACGAAGACACAAAGAGATGATTTGAGTTGGCCACGGCCCCAGAGGGCATCCGTGGCAGAACTAGGATGGTCTCTAAGTCCCTGGCGGCTCTCAGGCCATTGTTCTGATGTCCCTGTGTGTAATTGTTTTGATAGCAATTTCCCTGGTTCTCTCTCACTAGCCTGCTAATCACGCATGTCAATCACATTCAGGACGGCCACAGGCCTAAGGGTCAGCCACGGTCTCAGGAGGACGTAATTCAAAAGGAAAAACAAGACACAATAGCGCACTTTCTCCTTCAAGCATGTATGTCAGCTGTGGCCTCGTAAGTCTGGCCGTGTGTGCAGGACAGAGGGTTGCTTTTGCTTTTGCTTTTGCTTTTTTTTTTTTTTTTTTTTTTTTTTTTGTCTCTTCCCGATGGAGAAAGGACGTATGGAGGGCTCTGAACCACAGCAGAAAACCCAGTGAGAGATCCACCGGGGTTAAGATCCTCTTACTAGAGAACACTCAAGGAGCCTGCAAGAGTCCTCCACCGGCTCTCTGTAAAGACTCAGGAGGGATGTCCTCTTTCTTCCTCCTCAGGGAGTCTCCGTAGCCTCGCTCCATCTGTTAGGCAAGCCTGGACGGTGGGGCAGGAGTGGAAGGCTGGACGCACGTGCTAGCCGCCCTTCCCCTACAGCCCGCTCGGCCTGCTTTTCCTCATTTCACTTTCACTTCAGAGAGCAGCAGCGGCGGCCCAGAAGACGGCGGGGTCCGGGCCTGGACGTGGCCCGGGCCGCGAGGCGAGGCGCGCGGGCGGCCCACAGGGCGCGGCGCGCAGGGGAGCGTGCGCGGGGCGGAGGCTGCTCGCGTGAGGCGCGGGTCCTGGAATGTGCGTGTGCGCGGCCCTCGAGCACCGCCCGCGCGGCGCCGATTGGCCGGGGGCGCGCGGCGGGGGAAGCCCTTGGCTAATCTCCTGCCACTCAGCCCGCTCGACGTCGGCGCCGGGGCCGCGGAGCGGCGCGCGGAAGGACAAATAGTCCCCGCGGCGGCGCCGCGCGCCCCTCCACAGCTCTGCTCGCCCCGCCCGGGACTGCCGGGGCCCCGGAGGCCCGGGCGGCGGGGGAGGGGCGGTCTCCGCGGCTGCTCGACCCCCCGCTCCCCTCCTGGCGGCCCGATGAGTGGATGGCGCTCCCTCGGGAAAAGTAATTGGATTCCCGGCTCCCTGCAGCCCGGATCAGCGGAAATCGGAGGCTGAGCCTGCAGGTTGCCGGGGGTGGGTGGGGGGGAAGGGAGGCCGGGGAGCAGCCGCCTGGGAAGGAAACTTGGTGAAAGCCGCGCTCTGCCCTGACGTGTCGGCGGGCTTGTTCCTGCGCAGGCCGCGGCAGAGACCTGCGCGGTGAGGAAGGATCCACGGAGATTACCCCTGGTGCCCCTTGCCTCCCGGCAGGTGACTCTTGCCCCTCCAAGTTGTCATCATTCTGAAATTCACCTGGTTGCTGATCTCCGGGAAGAGAAATAATCTGGAGCGTTTGAGTCTTTGAGCCACCACCAGCCTCGTTTTTCTCTCAGAGCTCTCCTTGGAGCTAATGGAGAAAGAGCCCTGTCTGGGATTGGAGACCACTCTTGTTAACCGGGTAACTCCGGAGAAAATTACCTCCTCGCCAGAATCATCCAGGAAAGTATCTCAGGCCCTTGCTTCAGCAGTAGCGAACTTCCCTAAATTCTCTTTCCTCTGGGGAGATGGAGCAGAAGTGGGAGACTTCAGTTTTTTGGCTGAAAGGAGAGGAACGTGCTAGGAATTTAAGTGACTAACTCGTCCCTCTTGCGATTGTTTTTTCATCTTACTGTACTTCTTCACTCATTCATCTTCAAACAAGCTTTTATTGGGGGCTTTCTATGTGCCATTCTCTGTTGTATTCACCAAGGACACATCCGTGAATAAAAACAAGTCCTTGCACTCATGGAATCTCGTTATAGTTCAGACAATAAATGGACAAATAGATAAACAGTATATTGTCTTGGAGTGATGAATGCCATGAGGACAAATAGCAGAAGGACAGACAGAGATACAGGCGAGAGTAGCATGGTTTTTAATACTTCAAGTAAATTGATCTAGAAAGTCCTCTTTGATGCAGTTAGGTTCAAATGGTGGCCTGAATGAAATGAGAGAGAAAGCCAAGCAAATGCCAGAGGGAGAGGAACTTTCCAGGCAGAGAAAAGAACAAGTGAAAGGCTTTCAGTGTTGGGTGAGCTTTAATTAGTGGGAAACAAGGAAGCCAACATGAATGCTATGCAATGAGCAGGAAAACAGTTGGAGATGGTCTTTCTGACTTCCTTCTTCCTCTGTTCCCATCTAACGTGTCAGAACAATCATTCTAAATCTTCACTTTTAGTACATCTCTCTTCGTGCATCAGTAGTTTCATGGCTATATTTTCTATTCCATTCCATTTAAATTCTTTTGACTGATAGTCAAGCTCTTGCCCCAACCTAGTTCCATCTTAACCTGTGAACCATTTTTCAATCTACTTTAGTTCTAGTTAAGTCTGTCTCAAGTATGTTCATGTTCATTTATTCTTATGTATTTTTGTTTATGCATCTCTCCTCACACAACTTAGTATTGATTCAGTAAGGATGTAGGGACATAAAATCCAACTCAAATTGGCTTAAATAGAAGAAGGAATTTATTGGCTCACATAATTGAATAGTTCGAGATAGTTTTGTTAGACATCGCTTGGCTGAAGAGTTCAAATTATGTCAGCAAGATGTGGATCCTTCCTGATATGTTACCTCTTTTCTCTGCTGTTGGCTTCATTCTCAAGCTCCACAAATGAAAAACCAGCAACTCTAGGTCACACTATCCTCACTACCAGCAAAGGTCAAGAGCCCATTCCTAAACCAATCACTGTTGCCAGAGAAAGAGATGCTCAGGTTGGCCTGGACTGATTGACAAGCCTATCCCAAAAGTTGAGTCTATCACTAACACATGAATGGCACAAGAAGGTGATTTTAGGAAAAGAGTGTGGTCATAAGAGGAACAGTGGATATGTCTTGGGTAATGAAACACACCCCTGTTCTTCTCCTGATGTCCTGAAACATTCTTCCACTACAATGCCTTCAAAAATGTTTATGCCTAGTCAATGCAATAATATTATCTGCTACCAAAAATATACTCACTTCCTCCCCAAAGAGAGATGATCCAAATTCTCATGTAGTTACTGAAGATAACTCCCGAGTCCAGGACAGCAGGATAATAAGCATGTTTCTCTATTATACAGTAGTATGGTTCCTCAAGGTCTAGTAACCTAAAGCTACAAGATAAAATTAGCTACAAAATACTTAATACATAATGACAGAAAAGAACAACTACAACGGAAACTCATATTCAGAAAAATGACTAATGGCAAACACATAGTGGTCTTTGATTCATAGCATATATCATGCTGGACAGAAACACCAAGGCTTCTTACCATGAGAGAGGAGAAAGTTCTTTGATCAACACATCTGGCTGCCATATGTCCAACTATTGGAGAATCTCTCATCCATTGTTCCTCCATGCCATATCTGTAATGGACAGTTGGGAGTATAATCCTTCTAGGGACCACACCTCTTCAACATTCTGCTTCCTGATATAGTGGGGGTTGAAAAAAAACTTGTTATTACAGAGATAATTAGCTTTTACCACCAAATAGCTGTGATCCTCTTCTGTTATGTAGAATTGTTGCTACGAAGTAGCTGCATAGGCAAGGACTACATTTCCCAAGTTCCCCTATTAATCTTGGTAAATTTGTGCAATTAATTATCTCCTTAGGAATATTAGTGGAAGTGGCGTGAATCACTTCTTGCCAATGCGGTTAAGAACTAGGTATGCCTTCTATGGTTTCTTTTTCTTCCTCTGGCTACACTGAAAGGACTCTAGGACCCTAGAGGATAGTCATAAGAGAGCCATGAGATGAAAGGAGTCTAGGTAGCTGAATGACCTTGTAGAATGCCACTTGATGATCAGAAATACTGATATTGGATTTTACAGCAGTGAAAAATAAACATCGGTAGTGGTAAGCCAATCAAACTTTGCATTATGTGTTACAGCAGTTAGTAATAAGGCTAATTAACTGGCCTTTATTCTTCAGACTTAGGATTTCTCTCACCATACAATTTATCTATTTATTTTTTAAGTAGGCTCTATGCCCAGTGTGGGGCTTGAACTCATGACCCTGAGGCCAAGAGTCCCACACTCTACAGACAGAGCCAGCCAGGTGCCACAATTTTCTTTACTTCCTACTAAGCTTCCAGTATGTTTGCATCTAGCCAATTTTATGGGGGGAAAAAACTTCCAAAGCTGGATGTTATCTTAAGCTTCAGTCTTTGCATCCAGATTCTAATACAGGTATTTTTATCTTTATGTAATTGACCTTGGTATACTCCTCACTTATGGCCTTCATTTTGGTTTCTGCCTGAGAATGAGTTGAAACAATAGCTACTGAAAAAAATTAAATGAAAAAAAAAAAAAAAGAATAGCTACTAATTTTGCAGGGAGGGACATGGGCATAGTAGTGGTGCCAGAGGGAATAGAATTGGATAATTATTACCTTTCTAAGCAGGCAGGAATTGCTTGAGAGAGGCCTGGGTGTGTTCAGACTTCTCCCAAGTGCCAGTCTTTTCCACTTGCCTTCATTGGCATTAAAATTCTCTTGAGGCTTTTCCAACCCTAATGGCTCTAGGTTATTGAAATTTCTGTCATATTTGATTGCACCCTTTAGCAAAAATGGTCATTCATATCAAAGCAGTATTTTTCCCCCCTCAGGCTTAGATAAATCAAATTCAATCCTAAACTTGAGTCTCTCTTGTATGACCTAACTGAAAGCCAACATGCCAACATATAATAATTGGTGTACTCTAGTATCTGACCTTTTAGTAATATTTTTTTGCATTTCATACTTGTTAGGCACATGTTTCAAATTCTAGTATACAACAGGTGCCACTTTGCTATTGAATTCCCAGTCTAGTATAAATGAGGCCTCATCTGAATCAACTGATTCAACATTTTAAGATCTTTCACTTACTAATCCCCACTTCTGGTACCAATTTGTGAATTGTTAAAGCTATTTTAGTTGCAGGTGACAAGATAAAAAACACAAACTGGCTTATACAAAAAGGAATATATTGGCTATTGGCTCACATAACTAAGGAACTAGTGATATATTTAGCTTAAGGCATAGCTTGATCCAAGGGCTTAAGCAATGTCATTAGAATTCTATTTTGTTTCATCTCTTGGCTCTGTCTTCTGTGTTGGCTTCATTCTCAGGCTCCATATGGTGGCTCCTGGCAGCTCCAGTTCACATAATCCTTACTGTTAGCAATCTCAGTGGAAGAGTACATGCATTTTTCCCAGAAGTGCCAGCAATAATCTCCTTATATTTTATTGGCTTTGATTAGGGCATGTGACCAGAAGAATGATTACTCATGTTAAAAGTGGAGTCCAGTCTCCCAAAAGATGTTAACTGAGAGTAATAGAGGAAAACAGGGTATGGTTATCAAAAGGGTGAATGCTGAGTAGCAAAAAAACCAATGTCTCTCATTAGATACCAATGTGTAGTGATCCCTAATTGCTTCACATGTGTTGGTTTTATCTCCTTCACTGGACTATAAGTCTCTCTGGAGCAGGATCATGTATTATATGTCTTAACGGTGCCAGCCCAGCAAGCAGTCCTTAGATACTGGCTGATTGATTGCCTCTTCGTGTAACACTAAAGATGGCACACCAAAGAGGGTAAAAAGAGCTTAATAAAAGAATGATTTATAGAGATGTGGGAAGGGTTAAGGGAACCAACTAACAATGGTAAAACACTTAACTGGTAACAATAAGACTTAAGCCTGAAGGAGCAAGGGAAAGGAACTTTTAAGAGTTGTGTTTAGAAGGGGATGTCTGACAAACGTTGAGACTATAAATAGAGAAATGCAGCCACTGCCAAATGTGGCCCAGGAGGGGACTGGGGAGTAAACACTTTTCCTCCTTTACCCGACTCTCCAAACTTCTTTTGGTACCTCCCATTGGCCAAACTCAACCAGAAGCTATAGGGCTTGGATGATATAGTCTGTAGAGATCAGCCTCCAGTATAGAACAAGGCAGATAGGATGAAAAATGGATCTGGAGGAGCAAGTGGAAAATAACCAGGACATCCTTGTTATGTTCCTTAGAGCAACCCTCAATAAAAACTATTCCTGTTTTGAGAATGTTAACCATATAGCCTGATTCACCAAGAAAATATAATTTTATCTTTTCCAATACATTTTTAAACATATAACCAATGTAGTTTAATTTTTATAGTATTTTAAGGCTTTAACATTCATGAATTAATAAAGCATGAAAAATCTTTTGTTAGCCTATGTAGTTAAAAAGCTATCATTATTGTATTGATATGGAATTCCTCAAGAATATCGTACCTGGTAATCCATCAGAAAGCCCTGGGACAGGACTTGTCAAATAGTGACAAATTTGATAAATGTTTGATGATTTGAAGAATGATTAAATGAATAAATTAGAGCATTTAGAGCCTATTCTAAGTGGGAAACTAGATAGGCTTTCCTTGTTAAATGTTGAAGCTAACTATATAACATATACCAATCCTGTCTCTTAAAGTCTGACTCTGGCTTCTTAGCTGTTGATCAAGTTCTTATCTCATGGAAAAGGGAACTGCAATAAATTTTGTCAACCTTTAGAAGTAAGAAGTTTTATAATTAACTGTCATGCTAATAAACTCACTATAAAGTCCATTTCAGTTAAGGACTATCTTTTTTTTTTTCATCTAAAACTGGGTTTCCTCATGAAATTGTCATTTAAATGTAAGAAAAATAAATATGTTTGCTTCAGTACATAAACTGGCATTATAAAATATCAGTCCAAACTGTTTCTTTAACAGATTTTAGTTAAGCCAAAAATGCACGCTTCTATTCTTTGGCAATCTCATGTATGTAGGCCTTGAACAGTTTTCAAAATGTTTTCATATGAATCA